CCTGAAGGCAAGGACCGCCGCCGAGGAAGACATGGCAACTCCTTCGATCCTTGAAGGCAAGGCCGTGTCCGGGAGCGCCCCAGGTGTATAGGGTGTGGTGACACTGTGCCTGCAGGAGGTGCCCGCACCTGCTCCAAGAGCTTCTGGCCACTGCGTGGCTGTGCAGCCAATGGGCTGGGCCTCCCAGCCCTCCGCTCCTGCCCGTGTGCCGGGCGTGGCGGCCCTGCACCCTCGGGAGGGGTCCGCGCCGGCTGCTGGCCCGCTGGCCCATCTCCTTGCGCGGGGCGCGGGTGGCACTGCACCCTTGAGATCCTGGCGACTTGATCTTTTCGAGCCGGGCGTTTTTGTCAATCTCGGGCCCCGGGGCCCTCTCGGATCCCGCTCGAGACAATCGGCGTTGGACAAACCTCCTTTTAGTAGACCTCCCCTGAGTGAAAACGGCCTGGGACCGAAACCGACGGACCTGGATCCCGCAAAATTGACGGCCGCGACGCCCCCTCGCGAACCGAAAACGGCCAACTCCTTGATCGACGTGTCCGGGTAGGAGGTCTGTCCACCCCCGAAACAAGACGCAGAAAGATGGGGTCCGGGGGTCGGGTCGCGACTTTTTTTGCGCTGCTGCCACTTTTTGCAGCGTCGGACATCGGGCACCCTTGGAGGGGGGGGCCCGCGTATCTCTGCGCCGCCGCTGCGGCCGTTCTGCCCTGCGGAGGGGCCGGCACCTTGCAGCCCCCACTCGCTCGGCTGCGTCCCAACGCTTCACCTTGGTCGGGCATGTCCCCCTACAGGCGGATTTTGAGCGAAAAGTCAGAAATGGTCAAAGGATGCCCCAACATTGTTTTGAAGAACACTAACATATCGTCTCCAGGCCATTTTTTTACCATTTTTGAATACTCCTCCTGTAGAGGGACAGGCCCGACTTAATCATGCGTCACCTGGACGCGTGCTGGCTCGCTGGCTCGCGCACCCTTCCTCCTCACGCAGCTCCCCGAGGAGACGGCAGAGCCACGGCCAGGGAGCCCGCCGCAGGCGCCGATCTTCTGCCACACGGCCAACGGGCTCTGACCTCGTGTCGAAGCAGGTGCGGGGTCGTGGGGGCGGGACGTCGGCGGGCCGCCGGGTGGCTGGAGCTCCTGGATCGCGGGGGCGGTGGCAAGACAGGTGACGAGACAACACTGACGCGTAGTCCGGGCCGCGGAACGTGCCGTCGCTGGGATCCCAGATGCTCCTCCTGGATGGCCCTCGCCGAGGAAGAACATGCGCACGTCCGAGCGACGCCGAAGGAACCCCAACTCCAGCCACGGGGCCAGGGACGATGCGATACCGTGCTCAGTCCCCCCACCCAGATGAGCAGGCCCCCGTCACACCAACTCGCTTGTCGGCAAATGGCCTGCGGGGGGCCGCATTTCGAACGTCCCGGGCAGAATGTGCACACCTAAAACTCGAGTGGCAGCGCATGGCTGCGAGAATAGCGGCTAGGGGGGCAGCGGTGGTGGGGCGTGGTCGCGGTCGGAGTCACAAGCATACGGGATCTAGACGCATCTGGCTCGAGGCATCGTCGGCTTCAAGACATGGGAAATTGACATCCTGTCCAACGGCTCGGAAGACGAGTCAGCGGAAGGGTGGTGGGCGAGTTGAAGCGGAAGAGGGAGAAGGATAAGCGGGAGGGTGGGGAGCAGGATACCGAGGAGGCGACTGCGGTGAGGAGCTGGAGAATGATCGGGGAAAGGAGGGGGACCAAAACAGAGTAGGAGCGGGCTGAACATAATGTAGTGACTCTAAGGCCTCGACGTCTGTGAGCCTTCAAACCGAGACTAACAAAAACTAGCGTGAAGGACCTTCAGAGAACAATTAAGTTCCGATACTTTTCCGCTACAGGCCCATGCGGGACGCGTTCGGACCGTATCCACGCCCACTTGACGAGGGTCTGGTCTCCGTGACTACGTGGTGGGTGAGTTGCACTGTCTTGTGCTTCACTCAGCCTATGAAGATGAAATATCAGAGCTACTGCTTATTGGTGATCGCGAGGTGGGACGGCAGATGAGGAGGAGGAGGAGGAGGAGGAGGAGGAGGAGGAGGAGGAGGAGGAGGAGGAGGAGAGAGGAGAGAGAGAGAGGTGGAGAGGAGGAGGAGGAGGAGGAGGAGGAGGAGGAGGAGAAGGAGTAGATGGAGGAGGAGGCAGGAGGACGTGGAGGAGGGAGAGGAGAGTGGGGAGGTGGAAGAGGAAGTGAAGGAAGGGGCGGAGGAGGGAGGATAGAGGGTAGAGGAGGAAGGGGAAAGGAAGTTGAGGCGGAGGGGTGGAGGGGGAGCAGAAAGTGGAAGAGGGGTGGAAGGAGGAGGGAGCAGGGGGAAGGGCAGGAGGGGAGGAGGGGTGGGCGGTGGGGGAGAAAGGCGAGGAGGGGAGGGCGGTGGAGGAGGAAGGGGAGGATGAGGGTACGGTGGGGGCATTGGTTGAAGAATGTGCCCAGGATGCTTCAGACCCTGGAGGGTTCCTTCTCTGAGGAGGGCGGCGGTGATATTCATGGCCAGTCCACGATTGAAATTCTGCTGGCTTCCAGCCCCTGGATTCCTTATCCAACGGCTCCTTATCCAAAACCCTCACCGCAATCCCAGACCCCCGACGTCATGATTCTTTCATACCGTCGACCCCCAGCGATCTCGGGCCTTTCCCCATGACCCGTTCTTCTTCCTGAATCACTTTTGGACGGTCCCAAAGCCCGGCAAGGGCCCACAGAGGCCGAACATAGAGAAGGACCTCCCGCCGTGATTTTTTTCATGACTCGAGGGGGTCTAGGGTGGTGGAGCAGAACGGGGGGAAGGGAGACCGTTGAGCACGGACCGACCGTCCAGGAACAGTGTTCTTAGAACACACGCCCGACGTGTGAAAACAGGACAGTCCCAACCAGAAATGCTCTGAGAACATTTCGTGCAGACCACAAAAGGTTCTTAGAACATTCTGCGTTGGCCCTATAGGCGAGCCAGGACGCTGCGCCACTGCTTGAGACCGCGGGGGAACGCCGACCCACCGAGCCCGCCGCCCACGAGCTCGAACACGTGGCCCGGGCCCTCGTCGGTGGCCTGGCCGGCTGCACCGCTGCTGCTGCTGTCCCCGCCGCAGGCGGCGTGGTCCGCCTCGGCAGCTGGGCAGGGGGGGGGCGGGAGGAGGAGGGAGGAACAAAAGCGTCCTCCTCCTCCCCCTCCTCCTTCTCCTCCTCCTCCTCCTCCTCCTCCTCCTCCTCCCCCTCCTCCCCCTCCTCCTCCGAAGCGTCGGCTCTGCAGGGCTGGGGCTGACACATCCCCACACTGTACCCTAACGTAGCCCACACATTGCTACCTCTTCGGCGTTGGTTCAGTCGAGCCAGCGCTTCGGACTTTCACTTGACAGAATTAAAGGCCCACGGAGACGCGTGCAGCCTTGGCCATCCGTGTGATGACTACGGCGCTAGGGAGAGTCAAGCGTACGTTGAGCATCCTTCAATTCAATCCCTTGTACGCCAGCGCCTCCGACCGCTTGCAGGACATCGCCGACCTCACCCAGAACACTGAGTTTACTTGTCTCAATGGCACGGGGGTGCAACGATACGGTCCAGCTGGCGTGGCTACGTGGCGCAGAGCAGGCACCAGATGGTGCCTAGATTCTGGTTGGGCTCGCTCCCCGCACAGTAACAAGTCTTGTGGTTGTGCCATCGTCCTCGGCCCGAACATCAAGCGCATCTCAGTGGTGCAGACGTGGGCCTCTTCAATGCCTGGTCGAGGTGTCGCACTCCGCGCTCGAAGCAAGACGTACAATTTCGCGGTAGCTTCAGTTTATTTCTCCCGACTCTGTCCAAGACTAGTCATTTCAAGGCATATTATCAGACGTGTGACGCCATCATTAAATGGTTGAGGTCTCTCCCCGTTTGGGGTGTACACAGGTGTTCCCCGATCATTTGCACGGACCTCAACTCGTGCGTTGTGCTTACTAAGTTGGGGGGTACCGAATTGTGACGACCCACCATGCAGCCACCCGAATAGTTTGGGCCTCGTCACCATGCAGCTCGACAGCGGTACTCGGCGGAGGCCATCATCCCGTTTTTAGAAATGCTAGGCTTGATTGTCCTCAGCACACACTATGGGTATGGACCGACCTACTTCAATACTAAGGGGCACGGCAATCAGCTCGGCTTCATGATTGTACCCAGACGTGCCCTTCAGTCGTCGATTACGGTAGAACCTTTGCGCAGGATGGGACACTCTTTCCAGGCCATCGCCACCTCAACAGTGAGAGAACACCTCCCAGTCCATGCACGATTGGCCTACTCATTGTCTGCCACGTCGGGGCTAGAAGTGGTGGTGGTTGAAGATCATCCTCGGCTCGGATTCCTACAGACTCAGCGCACATGGAACAGAGATGCGCCCATGGACGGGCTACGACGAGGCACCAACCGACTGGAATTTCTGCAGGTGGAACAGCGTATTTCAACTGATACCGATGAATGGAAGCAGTTCCAGAGAGAGGGCCAGACCCCCAATCGAGAACAGGTCGACTTGCTACGAGTGCTGAACGAAGCAGGGGCTCCATACTTCACCAAACGACCATCACCGTCGGCCAACTATCGGCAGCGCGCTGGCCGCGTCAAGCTACTCATTTAGCAACGGCGACGGCCACGAGAAGAGTCGGGCTCAGCAGTGCAAATCAACGCCGTCGCCAGCATCACTCAGGAGCTCCAAAGGGGCTCTGACTGGGCGAGAGGCCTTTTAGGACGCCCCCTCATCCTCCTCCTCCTCCTCCTCCTCCTCCTCCTCCTCCGCATCCTCCTCCTCCTTCTCCTCCACCTCCACCTCTTCCTCCTCCTCCTCCGCCTCCTCCTCCTGATCCTCCTCCTCCCCCTCCTCATCCTCCTGCTCCTTCCTGCTCCTCCTCCTTCTCCTCCTCTTCATCCTCCTCTTTCTCATTCCTCTCCCTCTCCTCCTCTTCCTCCTCCTCCTCCTCCTCCTCCTCCTGCTCCTCTTCCTTCTCCTCCTCCCCCTCCCCTTCTCACTCCTCCTCCTCCTCCGCCTCCTCCTCCTCCTCCGCCTCCTCCTCCTCCGCCTTCTCCTCCTCCTCCTCCTATTCCTCCTCCCCCTCCCCCTCCTCCTCTTCCTCCTCCTCCTCCTCCTCCTCCTCAAATCCCCTCATCATCCTCTTCCCTCTTCCTCCTCCTATTCCTGCTCCACCTCCTCCATTCCTTTTCCTTATGAACAACTTCTCCACTTCTCCCTGTCGCACCCCGAGGCCAATTTTCAGGGCGGGTCGAGCGTTTCGCCTGAGACCTCCTCACTATCCATGACCCTGACGCTTACAAGGTGGCAACAGTTTCACAGATGGAGGGCGGATCGTTTTCAATATGTGGCTCTCGCCATGGCGCGGCTCATATTTGTCTTAAAGGTTCGCAAGAGTTTCACTGATTGAGGGCGGGTCATTAGCAGGAGCTTCACGGATTGAGGGCGGGTCCATTTCAAAATGCAGCTCTCGCCTCAGCGCGGCGCACATTCGTCCACAAAATACAAAAGTGTCACGGATTGACGGCGGCTGGTTTTCAACATGTGGGTCTCGCCTTAGCGCGGCGCGCGTTCGTTACAAACATGTGCAACAACTGCGCGGATTGAGGGCGGGTCGTTCTCAACATGTGGCGATCGCCCTAGCGGGCGCACATTCGGTTTTAACAGTTTGCATGAGGTTCACGGCTTGAGGGCGGTTCCGTTTCAACATGTGGCTCTCACCTTAGCGCGACGCACATTCGCCCTAAAACATCGCAAGCGTTCACGGATTCCCGTCAACGTGCCAGAAATGGTGTTTTGGAAAGATTCCGGACAATGCGGGTGCAACAGTTATGTTGATTCGTTATGTTGAAGTCCCAAGAATGGCGTTCCGACACGACTCAGGGTTGTCAAGACGCAACAGTCAAGATGATCCGTGGCGTTGGAATCCCGAGAACAATGCTTTGGCATGCCTCAGGGTCTTCAAACGAGTGTCTTCCAAAGAGTCAGTTCCTTCAATGAAAATGAACCGTTGTAGGGGCCTAGGAAGAAGGAGCTTGGAGGGAGGGTTGATTCCAACATCTTTGCTGCATCTTGGGTTTACACTGGTTCTCCTCCTCCTCCTCCTCCTCCTCCTCCTCCTCCTCCTCCTCCTCCTCCTCCTCCCCCTCTTCCTCCCCCTCCCCCTCCTCCTCCTCCTCCTCCTCCTCCTCCTCCTCCTCCTCCTCTTCCTCCTCCTCATCCTCCTCTCCTCCTCTTCCTCGTCCTCGTCCTCGTCGTACTCCTCCTAGTCCTCCTCCTCCTCCTCCTCCTCCTCCTCCTCCTCCTCCTCCTCCCGCCTCCTCCTCCCGCCTCCTCCTCCTCCTCCTCTACGAGGCCGAGTGGCCTCTTAGGACGCCCCCCCGCCGCCTTCGGGGGAGCCCTCCCGAAAGCCGACGGGCCCTTCCGAGCGGGCCCCTGACCTTCTCAAAGCCCCCCGCTGTCTGCTCGGGAGAAGGCGGCCCCCCTCGCGCCGCTGACAGATGAGGCGGAGGAGGAAGGAGGAAGGAGGGAGGAGGCGAAGGAGGGAGGAGGAGGAGGAGGAGGAGGAGGAGGAGGAGGAGGAGGAGGAGAGGACAAGGAGGCGAGGAGGGGCAGGGCGAGGAGGAGAAGGAGGAGGGAGGAGGAGGAGGAGGAAGAGGAGGAGGAAGAGGAAGGAGGAGGAGGAGGAGGAGGAGGAGGAGGAGGAGGAGGAGGAGGAGGATGTGAGGGAGGGGGAGGCGGAGGAGGAAGCTGTTCCGCATGTCGGAGGGCAGCATGGCAGCATGGCGGAGGCAAGAAGGGGTAGGAGGGAGGAGAAGGGAGGAGCATACTCTGGAATCGCTGCTGCTCCCAACCGTATTGCATATCTCAGCTCTCGTCGACGCGCGCCGCTGCAGTACCAGGTCCTGGCCGTTATTTTTTTGAGCGCTGCACTCCGAACAGTGTTTTCGTTGTTCGGATCGCTGCCACCAAGACGCGACGGCTCAAGCAAGCCAACGCTTGTCCAACGTAGCAAGAGGAGGAGCAGGAGGAGGAGGAAGAGGAGGAGGAGGAGGAGGAGAGGAAAAGGAGGAGGAGGAGGAGGGGGAAGAGGAGTAGGAGGAGGAGCAGGAGGAGGAGGAGCAGGAGGAGGAGAAGGAGGAGGAGGAGCACGGGGGGCTCGCGATGGAGGGGGGCCGTCCCGCCAGCTGGATCTGCAGGTCGACGCAGTCGCCATCGCACCGTGCCCCTTCCTCCTGAAACCCGACACTGCAAAAAAAACAGCCACCATCGCAACAAAATCACGACTGGACCCCCCGGTCCCCATCTTTCTGCGTCGTGCTTCGAGCTGGATCTATATGTGAGGGCCCCAAGGCCCAAGGCCCAAGATTGTGCGCGAAATCAACCGGCTCGCAAACAATGAGCCGCCAAGGTCTCAAAGTCTATGTTGCTCCCACCGTACTTACGGACCATATCCAAGAACTAATTTCGAGCACCCGGAAGAGTGTCGAAACAGTGCCGAAGCAATGTCGGACGAGTGTCTCCTAGGGCCCGACCCGTGCAAACCCTGGAGTTGTTGGGTACTTTTCTGGTGCTCGAAACTCTTGCTGGTGATCAAGGCTAAAGTCGGCTACACGCAAGAGTGACCCTAGGCAAGAGTGACCTTTGGCGCGCGGCTTTACAAGGGACGCGGGGGGGCCAAACCTGGGCGCACAAGCCGCTGCTACCGTTTCGCGCTCAGCGATCGTAAGACCCCATTGAGCCCGCACTAATGGAGGATGACGATTAATAAATGACCGGGGGTCGTGTTCACGCGGCGGCGCCCGGGATGACGATTAGAAAAAACCGGCCGCGGGCTGGAAAACTGTTTTCTTATCGTTCTCCTCCAGTCAGAAAGTTGTGCAGAAATAACAGAAAACTATGCTTTTAATCGTTCTCTCCCATTCTTTTATTAACCGTCATCTCGCATTACAGGTCACTCCGGCGAAAGGCCACTCTGACGTCTTGTCGATAGAGCAGGCTGGACCATTCAAACTCGAGGCTCGCCGCCGCGCCCCCCCTCGGGGAGCTGGCCTCCCTGGCGGGCGGCCGCGCCCGACACCTCATGCGGGGCAGCGGGCCCTGCTCCCACCGGTCCAGCTCCTGGCGGGGGGGCGGGGCGAGGGCGAGGGGCGAGGGAGGGGCGGGCGGACGAGGGGTGGAGAGGAAGGGGAGGGAGGGAGGGGGGAGAGAGAGAGAGAGAGAGAGAGAGAGAAACAGAAAAGAGAGAGAGAGAGAGAGAGAGCGGGAGGGAGAGGAGAGAGAGAGAGAGAGAGAGAGAGAGAAAACAAACAAGAGAAGAGAGAGAGAGAGAGGGAGGGAGAGAGGGAAACGCAGAGAGAGAGAGAGAGGGGGAGACGCAGAAACCTAGAGAGGGAGAGAGAAAATAAAGAAAGACAGGAGAACGAGAAAGAGAGAGAGAGAGACAGAGGGAGATGGAGAGAGATAGGATCAGATAGGGCAAGCGAGAGAGCGATAGAGAGAGAGAGAGAGACAGAGACAGGAGAGGGAGAGGGATGGGGAGACAGGGGGGGACTGGGGGAGGATGGTGAAAGAGAAAAAAATGGAAGGCAGAGTGAGATGTTGGTTCCCATTGTCCCTGCGATCCGTCAGAGCCCGTCAGGTTACGTTCCAGATTCGGTTCAGTTCTATCATACTCGAAGGAATGAAACATGGCGTAGGAAAGAAAACCACACGTTGTCCTCACTTCCTCGAGCGCAGGGGGTCAGGGCGACGTGAGTTCCACATAACCCCCTTCAAGTAAGATGGGAAAGGGGTCACGCATGTTATATGTTTACGTGTTCGAATGATGTATTTGTAGCTATTTCTATATACATGCTGCTGCGAATCAGCCTAGAACTACTCGTATGTCGACACAACTTGGCCTAGAACCAAGCCAACACACCAGCCAGCCCAACCATCCAACTCACAAACCCACCAAGCAGCCCAACCAGCCCAACCAGCCCACTGCACCGTCCACCAAGATGCGAGACCGATAATTACGAGGACCACGTCGCCGGCTGGCCTCAAGGCGCCGACGGCCACCTGCCAGCGGAGGCCCTCCACCTGAGAGCCGTCTGCCTGCTCGCAGACGCGGCGGGGCGCACGGGGCTGACGAGGAAGTCCCGCGCGGCAGAGGCACGCGGCCCGTGGGACCGTGGGACCGTGGCGCCACGGCGCTGGCGGCGCGAGCTGCCGCGCAAGGGGCACGACGCCCAGTGGGCCGCCGCCGGCTCCTGCGCCGAGGGGAGGTAGGCACCCAAAGGGTCCGCCGCCGTGTCGTCGGCCATCTGCCAGCCATCGGCGCTGGAGGTCGAGCCTGCCCGCCCGTGGCGCCGAGCCCCAGAGGCCCCGGTCGACCCTTGCCCCACGATGGGCTGTTTTCGCCCTGAGCCGTGGCGTGACGCTCCCGAGGCCCGGTTGGGGGAGGCCGACGCTCAGAGGCAAGCCTCCCGTCGTGATTTCTTCATGGCTCGAGGGGGGTCATGGAGAGTCGGGCCGGGCTCCGCCGAGGGCAAGCCCGCGCCATCCTCGGGCTCCTGCGGCCCGCCGGCAGCCCGTCGCCCCGCCGCCAGGCGCGCGCGCGCCGGGGGGCGGCGCTCGCCGAGGGCGCGGGGGCCGAGGGCGGAGCGCACGGGGCCGGAGCGGCAGGGGTTGCGGCCGGCGACCGCGCGGCCGCTGCAGCTCCGCACCTCTGCACTGCGACATGCACGCTCCCGCGCGCGCATCGATTGCTGGATGGCGAGGGAGAGAGGGAGAGAGAGAGAGAGCCTAGAAGCAAAACGGTTGAGTTGTGCCGCTTCGCGAGCGGTCCCCACCGAAACCGTCGGCGTTTCATCCCGAGGGAGCGCGCGCGCTCGTTGGAACGATGTGCGCGGGGCGCGGGGGTCTCGGCCAGTGTTAGGCCATGTGACGTTCTGCTCTGTTATGTTATCTTATGTATGCTGCGATCTGTCATCGCAAGCGCTGTTATGCTGTGTCGTGCTATGGTCTGATATGCCATGCTATGTGATGGTGAGACATGTAATGTGTCTGGGATGTACAGTTACGCACTGATGCGTTATGGCATGCTTGATGTGTCATGGCGTGGAATGATGTGTGCTGCGATACTCTGCTATGATATGCACTGCCGTGCCATGGCGTGTTATGTTACGACATGGTATGTCATGATATGGTATGTTGTGCTCGGACATGTTCTGTTCCATGGTGTGGTGTTATGCTTTGCTCTGTGGGGGGACCTGCCGCTCTGGCAGCCGCGGTATGCAGAGTGGGCGAGTCGGCGCGGGGGGGGCGGGACCATCAGAGATCATCGGGAGCCTGGGGATCTGGCGGCCGCAGTATGCAGGGCGGGGGGGGCCGGGACCACCATGACTTCTCGGGAGCCTGGGGATCTGGCGGCCGCGGTATGCAGGGCGGTGGAGGGTGGGGGGGGCGGGACCACCAGGAACTACCGGGAGCCTGGGGATCTGGCGGCCGCGGTATGCAGGGCGGTGGGGGGGGGGGCGGGACCACCAAGGATTATCGGGAGCCTGGGGATCTGGCGGCCGCAGTATGCAGGGCGGGGAGGGGTGGGAAGTCTGTTCTCAGAATCTAACGACCCCAACTTGTCGGGTGGGGAAACACAGAAAAGAGAAAGAAAGAGAGAGGGAGAGAAAGAGAGAGAGAGAGAGAGACAAAAAAAGAAAGGGGGGAAGGAAAACCGGGCAGTGGAGGAGGGAACACCGGGCAGCGAAACACGCAAGAGGCATGAGAAAGAGGAGGCAACCGGCCCGGCTCCCCCTTCCAGCCCCTGCTGGGATGGGGAGGAGTTGCGCAGGAGGGGGCGCGGGATAGAGATGAGGTCAGGTCACAGTTGAGCAGCTTCGGGGAAGCCAGAGGAGGAGAGGGCAGAATGGTCATGAGTCATGAGCACGTGTGGAACAGAAGGACGCGGAGAAGGAAACCTTCACGGAAAGCTACGGTACCCAAACAAACCCTTGCTCAGTGGGCTAGGACGGCCAGTGAGAAAAAATGCATCTTGAAAGGGAAGAGGAGGAGGAGGAGGAGGAGGAGAAGGAGGAGGAGAAGGAGGAGGAGGAGGCGAGAAGGACGAGGCGGCCGCGGGGGACCTGAAGGCAAAAAGCAGGAAGATCCACAGCAAGAAACAATCGGCTCTCTCCGCCGTCGACGCAAGAGCTGAAGTAGTGCGATGCGGTTGCGCCCGCCACGGTGCGGAAGCGGGCGCTCCGCAATCCTGACCCCCATCTACCCACTCAACTCACAGCGTCATCCTCTCCCTTCTTCGTCATGCACCGCCGACGATTTCCTGGACGCTGACCTTCCCCTCCTCATGACTTGGCTCACAGAGGCGCGCTGCGAACCCCGTGCGAAACATAGCACGAGCGAAGACGCAGTCGCCTACAACAGCCATGTGGTAACTGGCACCAGTCAGTGTGCGACGGCCGTGCACGTCCAGATTAAAACAAGGGGGGTTCGAAGAGACCCAACCCCCTAGGAAAAATAGTCTGGCATAGAACAGTAGCAACGCCCTGATACGGTTGGCTCGATTTACGTCCAAAGAACACGGGAACTTCTGGCGGCCCTCGGCGACCCGCACTCGGACGCTCGCCTCTGGCCGCGCGGGACCGCAGGAGAACCTGGACACCTTGGAAAGCTCCATTGTCATTCTTTAAGAAGAAGAAGAAAACGAAGAAACGCAATGAACATAAACTGTTGACACTCCGCGCGGATTTCTTGGATCTGCGCTGCACCCCCCTCCCTGGCGCGGGGGGCGCGCCAGCGGCGGCGCCGGAGGCGCCGCCCGGGGGAGGCCCAGGCCTGGGCGGCGCAAGAGGCGCCGCCCGGGGGGCCTGCGCTCCTTCGATCGCTCTTCAGGTGTTTCTTGGTGTCAGTGGTGTTATGGTGTTTATGCTTACGGTTATTTTTCTTGTTCGATCCTCGTCGCTCCTCAGCATGAACGAAGCTACCCAGACCCCGGACGTCATTTTTTCTCATTGCGTCCACCCCCAAAGTCTGGACCCCTTCCCCAGGACCGGTTTTTCATCACGAACCGTTTTTTCACGGTCCCGAGGCTCGGCAGTGGCCGCCAGAGGCCGACAATGGCAAAACCCCACCCGTCGTGATTTTGTTTTGTCCATTGCTCGAGGGGGTCTGGGTTCTGTGCCGCTCCCCAGGATGGACGACGCTGTGTGCGAACGCCTCGTCGCAGCGTGCGCCGCAGGGGGGTGAAGGGGCCCTGGGACACACAAATAAATACACACGAATAGCAGGATTCTCTATGTTTCAAATTATTTTCTGGGTTTTTGTCTTCCCCCCCACTTCCCATATTTTCCCACATTTTCCTAGGAGTCGACGATGAATTGTGTCTGTGTGTTTTTTCCCCTCCTCAGAGAGGGAAGGCGACGCGTCTCCTCCCACGGCGCGGCGTGCAGCGCAGCCCCGCCAGAGCACTCCGCCCACGCCTGCGCGCGTCGGCCGGCGAGGAGGAGGAGGAGGAGGAGGAGAAGGAGGAGGAGGAGGAGGAGGAGGAGGAGGAGGAGGAGGAGAGGTGGAGGAGGAGAGGTGGAGGAGGAGGAGGAGGGATGGGATGGGATGGGATGGGATGGGATGGGATGGGTGGGTGGGTGGATGGATGGATGGATGGATGGATGGATGGATGGATGGATGGAACGCTGGGGGGGCGATGCGTCTCAGTGCCGTGGCTTGCTCATCTAAGGGCAATGCTCTGCCTCATGGAAAGCCCCCCGCGTGGAACTCGAAAACGGACGAGGGGCTATCATTAACTGTACCGCAACCTGGCCCGTTTGAGTGGGAGTCTGCCTCCCGCTCAAGTGGACCGCCGGCAGAGATGTATACGCATGATCCCATTGCTTTAAACCTCGGGAGCCTATGCCTCCTCGCTCCTACCACCTATTGGGGGGCACGGGGAGGAGGACGACGCAAAAGCCTGTAAGCGTCCGCTAACATCTCTAAAGCTTTGCAACTTTCCCCCCCGCCGCCAATCGTTCGACAGAACATTTGGGCCGCTCGCGGCATGCTTCGCGACGATCGCCCTGGCGGGGGGGATATGTGAGGACGAGGACGAGGGGAGGCTCGGAGGCACGGGAGTAGGGACTAGTATATAAAAGGATTGGCTGGCATCGGGGACCCCTGGTGTTCCTGGACGCACCGCTGGGCTGGGCGCTATCCCCCCCACCTCGGGGCGATGTCGCCTGGCCTCCATTTTCCTCCTCAGGGGTCCCCTGACTGGTTGCCTCGCACGAAGCTACTACACACCTGACTGGCGCCTCCGACTCACCTTTTAGCGGTCCAAGTTTGCGTTCATCTGCTTCTCCACCACCCTGACTGTCTCGGTCTTCGGCGCCTGGCCCACCATCCTCTCCGCACCGTGCTTCTGCATCGCCTGCAGGGTGGCCATGCGCGCGTCCTCGATCGTGATCCCCTGCTCCATCGCCTCCGCCTCGATCGAGCAGATGTCCGCCCGCTAGTTGCAGTTCACCGTGGCCTCTGTCTTCTTCTGCTCTTCGCCCTTGTCCTCCATGATGTGAGCTTCCTTCGCCCTGTGCGCCCTGAACGTCTCGCTCTCCACTTTCTGGCCCTTCTCCCCGTTCGCCTGTCGTAGCCAGTGGCCCACCACCTCGCCGCTCAATTTTCCTTTGAGCTCCTCTTGCATCACTTCCCTCATCGCCATCCCCACCAGCAATTGGGGCGATCTTATGCCGTGTTCTTTGCCTTTCTCCTTCACCTCCTTCTGGTGGTCGGCTACCTTCTCCATCGCGCTCCTGTTGCACTTCGCCTTGCTCAGGCGCAGCCAGATCATCTCTCCTTCGCGCTTCTGGCCCCATGTTTTCCCTTCTGCGCCTTTGCCCGCCTTTTGGTCGCGCTGCCCCTGCTCTGCTCCTCCTGCTCCTCTCATGGTTGCCCTCCACTTCGGTCTCTCCTCGTCCGCCGTCCTTGGATGCACTCATGCCCTCTGGACCTCGGTGATGAGAAGAAACTCTGTGCTGCTGAGAATCTTCAAGATCTCGAGCCTCGTCGCTACTGATCCCGTCGGCTGCGCTGCATTGCCCAAGCATTCCCATGCGACGCCGGACCTCGCATTTGACGACGTACTTCTTCTGGGGCACTCTTCTCGTAGTGGCCTGAGCTCCACTTCCTCGTAGTCCGACGAGGTGGTGGGTTTTATCAGCCTTTACGTAATACCCACTATGAATCTCTCTCTCCAAGTTCTCCGTCGCGTAGTTGATCTTCGTCACCGCGTCTTTCGCGCTCGGGGCGCCCAGCCCGATATGTGTTCGTGCAACGTTGCCCACGATGGTTGCCAGTCCACTGTCTCCTTCATCTCCATGCTTCATCGTCGGGCTCCTCGTTCGCAGCAAGCCACGCGTGATGTCCTGCTCCTTGAGGTGCTGGTTCCACTGCTCGATGATGGGGGTTATAACAGTCATTGAAATCTCGCGGTGCGCTGAACAAAACCCATTTGACTTCCGCGTTGGGGCATCAGGCTGGTTTCCTTGTCGCTTCCCATATTCATCATCGTTGCATGCTCAGTAGCGCCCACTGCGAAAGGGATGTCCGTTTCCAATCGTTGCGTTCGAGCCACTCCTTCCATCTTCTCTCTGGATGTGCAGTCGAAAGCATTTGTGCAATCACAGTTCGTCGTTATCTGGCTATGGACCAAAGACGCAATTCTCGATCTGCAACTCATAGTCGTGATCAGCGCGTCCTCTCTGCATTTCTTCTCAGGCCCTCCGTGTGCCCAGTAGGGTCTTTGCACTGGTGGGGCTCGTCTGCGCATGCCGCTACGAACGCCCATTGACCACGCGCAATAACAATGCATAACTCTGCGTCCAAGGATTTCTGCTTTGCCGTTGCTCTTGTCAATGCTGCCCGGAGACGCTCTCGCACAATCAATCGGCGCTGCCTTGCACGCCCTTGCTTTCATCATGTACTCTGAATAACACCTTTGCAGCAGCTCGGCTTTGCAACTCCTTTTCGTTGTTCCATGTCCAGCTCGATGACCTCTGCGGGAGATCCAATAATCCGGTTGTTCTGCCTCTGTCACTTCTAGTAGCGGGTCTGCTTCCAGCGCTTGACCTGGTACCCATCCCATCTTAGTCAGAAGAGCTCTGCCTTTGTCCATCTGCGGGCTCTCCTCCCCCTCGTCATTCTCAAGACGGCTTAATTTGATCGCAACTCATTCGCTTGCTTCGGCTTCGTACGGGCCCTTTATATCCTCAAAAAGGCTTTTTGCTCAGCAGCGCCATCTCGCTCGGGGTTCCCCAAGCTGGGTACGTCCTTTTTTTGCCAGTTCTTCTCAGGTATATGACGCGTGCTTTGCGGTCGTCTCGCACATCTTCCGCAATCTCTGCATCGACAAGTCGTGTATCTCCTTCGCCGTCGGCGTCCACTCCGCTGCAGTACTCACTCTTCACCTGCTCGTAATCGATCACGTTTGCCTCCCGCCCACCGTGTTCGCCTTCTTTTTTCAACTCTGTACTGCCTTCTTGTGCTTCCATGTTCGTTCTGGGTGAGCATAAATCTCGATTCCGAGGTCCCCGTCCTGTACCGCTGCATGGGCACCGCAGCTCATATAGCTCTGCGAAATTACATTTTTCGCCGCTCTGCACATCGTCGCCACCAGCTCGGCTTTTCTCCTCTTCTCTCGATCATATCTCTCACTCTTCAGCGTCGCCGCGATCCCTTTCAACTCGTTCTGTATCAGCTCCATCTCCTCATCCGCCGATTGCCCAAAAGAGCTCCCTTCGCTGGCCCAAGTGCTGCATGCGATACTGTGTAGTCGCGTACGTCCCTTCTGGTTGTACTCTGTCTCCTTGCGGTAATGTTTCCGCCATATCTTTGCTCATCGTCTTTCCGAGAATCTCCCACATGTCGTCAGGCGTGTGTCCACTCCCTGCTTGTTGCCATCTTTCCTCTTCAATATCGTTCGGCAATTCCTTTATGCGTCTGAAGTGTTCTTCCCGCTGTACCCCTTGTCGTAAACATCGCATCGCTTCATTTCATTCAACTCGTTCTGGCCATCCTTGTCCTCGTAGTTCTGTGTTGCACTTTATCACCATCGCCCTTGATTTGTAATATCGTGGTTATCCGTGCCGTTTTGGTTGTAGCCGTCGCCCTGCAATCAGTAACGTTCTGCATTCCTTCATAGCAGCAGCTGCTCCATCGGGACTTATGATATGGTCAATTATGCCTTGTCCTTTTTCGCAAAAGCAAGTGCTGCCGAGCTCTGGCCCGAAGGTCGTCTGAAAGCGTACTTGTGTACTCTGGTACGTGCGTCCTCTATGTTTCCCGTTGACGTTCTCGACTCTCGGTTCGCATCCTCCGATCGCTGCTTCTTTCGTAAAATCCATTTCTCCAGTCGGGCCTCGAGCCAACCCAAAATCAGAATTCCAGTCTGCACACCAGATAGTTTTTGTGTTACGTCCACTCTTGTCACACATGTGCTCCGCCCATGATGAGATACGCTTCGCAGGTTCGTCATTTATTTTCTTCCCCCATGGCGCGTCATATGTTCCAACCGAGAGAATGTCCATTTTGCCCAGCTTCAGTCGTAGTGCTGCCGCGCGTCCGCTAAGTCCCCGGGGTGGAAGTTGAACATGATTCGAAAAAGTTCTCGGCAGCTTATTCACCCAGCATCTTCCACGCCATCCACCAGGAATTGCCCAGTGGTGAGGTAGTTGCTGAATTGCTCCTGGGTGTTCCCAATCTGCTCGCCGTTTTGTGTCTGTCCATGTGATCAGCTGCACTTTCTTCTGATCACTGCTAAAATCCTCGCACCGCACTCCCCATGCCTGTTGTGGATACTGAACCACTCCTACCAGGAAGGAGAGGGGCACCCCGCAGAACAGCATCGCCGCGCAGCCACTCACCTGCGCCGCGCCGCCATCCCTCGCGGTGCCGCGTGCCGCGTCCCTCGGTTCGGGACTCCGACACCCTGAGACATGCTGGCTCCTCCCGCCAGCTGGCAATCAAGCCTTAAGCCTGGTACGCCAGCTGGAAGAGGAGAGGGAGGAGGAGGGAGGAGGAGGGATGTGGAGGAGGAGGGGGAGGAGGCGGAGAAGGAGGAGGAGGAGGAGAGATGGAGGAGGAGAAGGAGGAGCCAACGTAGACTGAATGGGAAGAGACGAGGGCAAGCGGACAAGAAGCGAGAAGAGGGCAAGTGATCCGATCACGGCTCTGCATGTACCGCTACATCTGCTTCAACTGGGTGCAATCGGTGGCTGCGCTGGCCGCAGCATTCGGTCGTGCTTTGTGATCATCCAACTCGGAGGCGTCAGAGAACGCAGGACATGAAGGGATGGGAGGCAAGGGCGACAGAGGAGCACAGGATGGGACGTGCCAGGCGGGGGGACAGGGCTACATGGACGGACGGGAGCCTCAGGCGCCACTCCGAGCGGCGAGGGCGCGCGAGCATCATGCAGAAACTCCGCGGCGGTGCATA